GCGACTGGCGCAGTCGCTGCAACATACTGTTCGGCGAGAAACTTTTGCGGCGTCTCCAATTCAATGGAGTCCAGCGAGACGCCCTCCTGCAACAGACCCGCGAATAGTTCCGAGACCAAATCAGTGAGCTCTTTCTTCGATATGTTCACATCGCGCAGCTCCTCGGCGTCCACAGTCACCATTTCAGCGGCCACATACTCCGGATCATTGATGGGATCGTCGTCATCGCCCAGGAAGCTGTTGTCTATATAAAATATATGTGTGTAAATAAGTATTTTTACTAATTGATTAAATGATTGATGGACCGATTGATTAAATCAAGATTAATAACTGAATCAGCGACTGATTGATTAACTGGCTTATGAACTGATTCACAGATTATAACTGACTGATTGATTGTCGCTCGAAATGCTGACAGTTGACTCATTTCTGATTGAAAGACTGGTTGTTAAATGACAGACTGTATTGACAAACTGATTTGGTGATTGATTCAGTGAATGAGTCATAACTGACTAGCTGATTGATTGATTGGCTGACAGACTGTTCGACTAAATGATTAAGCTGACTGCTTGCTAACTGATTGACGGACTCTCGATTTGCTGACTGAGTTTTTTGATTGACAAACTGATTGCTTGACTTATGAATGACATATTCAACTAACTCACTAAAAGGTTTGGTTGACCGAATGAGTCATGAGTGACTAACTGATTGATGCACTGACTGACGGATTGACTGCTTCAGTAGTAGACTGCTTGACATATAGACAAACTGGTTTGATTGATTAACTTACTGACCGACTTATTGGCTGATTGATCAATTTAGTATGCATTACACTTACTTAACGGCTTAGAGAAGTCAGTGAGGAATTGCATCCATTCCGCATCATTGGCGGTCATGTCATATTCGGGCACATCGCTCTGGTCTAAGTCTGGTGGCACAAACTCGGACTGCAAATCCTCGATGGTTGTTTGCTGCAGGCAAAACTTGGAGCGTGTACGCGTTGCGATGCGCGGATCTTCGGAGTTTTTGTCTGGGGGTAGTTTAAAACAGCCATCGGAGGTAAACTTGACAGGCGACTCCTCGTTGGCGGTCATTGGGGTTTGCGGAGTGCAGGGATTCGAATCGAAATCGGAGGCCGTCGTGTTCGGATCATCATCCGACTGCAAATGAGAGTGAAATGTGGTGTTAATGTGAACAAGATGGTGTATCTAGAAGTAAGCCCACATGGAAATCATCCTCCTTGAAAGTGTACTCTTCGTCCTCCTCATCCGAGTGCAGATCCTCGCGTATTAACGCCTCAATCTCATTATTTACAGGCGTTTCATTCAGCGGCGGCAGAGTTATGCCCGGCGTGCGATTTAATTCGCGTGCTTTGGCGCGCGTCAGCTTCGGCACCGAGGGTGTCTCTGTGATGATGATGGCACCGCGTTGCTGTTCCTCGTCGGCAGCGGCCGCCTCGCGCTTCTCGCGCGCTAGCTCATCCTCGGCCTTGAGTGTGACTAGGGCCAGGACATGCTCGTTGCGAACGACACGCCGCACCACTTTGTGCATGTCCTCGCTGCTAATGGCATTCGCGCGTGCCACCTTGCGCAGCCGTCGATCAATCTCTTTAGCATCCTCAATGTTGCAGTCCCCCAGCTGCGAGTCCAGGCTCTGTCTGCGCTGATCTTGATTATCTTTTTCAATGCGGCGCCGTTTGCGCGGCTGTCGCCGGTTGATGCTTGTCGGCGTTGAGTTCACACTGCTGCTGCTGCTGTTCGCCGTTCGGATGGGCGTCTTTATATCAGCTGCATCCGACTTTCTCGAGCTGTTTGGCATGCTGCTGACACATTTAAATAGGAATTTAGGCGAATTTCACAAGTCCTTCGTGCATCAAAACAAAATTGCGACCAGTGTTTCCACAAAATGCCGCCACATTAAATGCTATTTATCGTGCAAGGGCTGGCACAAAACTATCGATTTCTTATTTGTTACTGTGCTGTACACTGACTATCGATATGTGAATGTGAACTGTTAATTAGCATTGTTTACAGGCAATCTGGGTTGTATTTGAGTCAATCAAAACAAGTTAAGTCGCTCATTTTTAAGTCATTCACTAATTTGTTTTTTTAAACTCTCTTTATTCGTTTTATGAATAGTTTTTTTTAAATATACGCCAGATATACCGCCAATTAGCCCAGTTCATGAGCAACTCACTTACAGAACTGAACGTATTGTTCATGAACGGTTCAATGAACCGTTTAGCTTAACATACTCCAATTGAAACAACACAACTCAAAGCTGTTAGTTTCATTTATTATTTTATTATTGTAATAAAAGTTTTATTTGTGTAATGTCAAGTGCATGTGAGCTGGCAAATTGCAATCAATGTGAAAAATGCGCATCTGCATGGTATCGGACTTTTTCTATCCCAGCATCGGCGGCGTCGAGGAGCATGTCTACAATCTCTCACAAATGCTGCTGGCGCTGGGACACAAGGTGGAGCACGTGCATCCTTACAGCGGCAATTAAAATCTAATCTATTTTTAATTCGTCCCTAAAATAGGTTGTTGTGCTGACGCACGCCTATGGAGACTGCACCGGCATACGCCACATGACGCACGGCCTGAAAGTCTACTATCTGCCCATTAAGGTCTGCTACAATCAATGCATCCTGCCCACCGCCGTCTGCAATGTGCCCATGCTACGGGCGGTGCTGTTGCGGGAACAGGTGGACGTGGTGCATGGTCACTCTGCGTTTAGTGCCTTGGCCCATGAGGCTTTGATGGTGGGCGCTCTGCTTGGACTGAAGGTGGGCTCAGGATCTTAAATTAACGCAGATCATGATAAATATGGGATATCTTTGTAATGGGTATTGTTATTAATCCCGCAACTGCTTCACTTTCCAGACCGTCTTCACGGACCACAGTTTGTTTGGCTTTGCGGATCTGTCGGCTGCGCTGACAAACAAGCTCCTGGAGATCACTTTGAGCATGGTGAATCATGCGATCTGCGTGTCCCACATTGGCAAGGAGAACACGGTGCTGCGCGCTCGTGTTGCCAAGCATCGCGTCTCGGTTATACCCAATGCTGTGGACACGGCGCTCTTTACGCCCGATCCTGCACAGCGGCCGGTAAACGGAGTCATCAATATTGTGGTCGCCTCGCGTCTGGTCTACCGCAAGGGCATCGATCTGCTAGCCGGGGTGATACCGCGCTTTAAGAACACGCCAAACGTTAAGTTTATCATAGTGGGCGATGGACCCAAGCGGGATCTGCTCGAGGAGATACGCGAGAAGACCAACATGCAGGATCGTGTGGAGATACTGGGCGCCGTGGAGCATGCCCAGGTGCGCGATGTGCTCGTGCGCGGCCACATCTTTGTGAACACCTCGCTAACGGAGGCGTATTGCATGGCCATTGTGGAGGCAGCCAGCTGTGGCCTGCAGGTGGTCTCCACCAGCGTGGGCGGCATACCCGAGGTGCTGCCAAATAGTCTGATACTGCTCGCTGAGCCGGATATTGAAGCCATTTATTCCGCCATATTGGTGGCCATCGATAGACACCGCAAGATTTCCCCGGCCTGCAGCTCAACTCCAAACGGTAACATTCCTCAGGGGACGGCACGTGCGAGGCGTAAGCGCCTCAAGAAATCTGCCAAAAGTGTGCCTTCCATAAATGGTCCAACTGAGGCAACGAGCAGCCAAATGGAACCGGTGCTGTGCCCGCACAGATGCAATGAGCTGGTGGAGACGCTCTACAACTGGGAGGATGTGGCCCAGCGCACGGTTAAAGTCTACGATCGTGTGCTGCAGGAGCGCGCCTTCACACTCAGCGAACTGATCTATGCCGTCTATCAGTGTGGCGCCTGGTTTCTCGCCTTTCTCGTCGTGGGCCACTTTACGCTGCTCCTTTTGGAGCGCTGGCGGCCACGCAGTCGCATTGAGGTGGCGTTTGAGTCGCGACGGCGGCGCAGCTAGTGTTACGCTATGTATTTATTTAGAACTTCCAAACCATTGTTTGTCTTGTAGTAGCAACAATTTTGTCAATTAGTTAAAATATACCAATGTGTTCGCAATAACATTTCTGCTAAGTATATGCAATCCCTTTTTGCTTTCAATTGATAGCAGTGCGCCAAATGTTAAGATACTGCTAATAACAGCTTAATGTAAATTAGCTGGAGTTAGCTGCGCATTTGTGCGCCACGTGAAGTTGGCTGCAAGCGCACATTTGAGTCTTGTGCAGGCGCTCAAATCGATGACACAGTTCGTATCGATAGCTTCAGTCTTGAAGCAAATGCACTACGGTAAGGTTGTGCGCGCGCGTTTATTTGTACAGTAAAAATACCTAAACAGCGAAATAGCTTTTAAAACGACAGCGGGCACTTTGACGAACAGCAATTGCGTGCAATTTTGTGTGGCCGCGTTATGTTAGAAATGCATTCGAGTTAACAACCAATTAAATATTTAAGAAGCGGCCATTCAAATTCGCTGCAAATTTAAGCGCGTTTTCTTGGTGCGTGCAAAATACTTTGAAATTGTGAATTCAAACTGAAGATGAGCAAATTGTTATTGTGAAGACCGCGCAGCATCCTTTTGGACCTATGACGTCATTCGCGCGCTACTTCGCTGCCTGTGTGTGTGTGTGTGTGTGTGTGTGTGTGTGCTTGGAATTAGAACAAACTGTTCATTTATTACGCACTGCACTTGTAGCTGAGAAAAGGCCTTGAACATTTAATGCCCCTCTCCCTACCCCGCCACACTTCTTTCAACCCACAAGACAGACACCAAGGTCGCGAGGCTTTGTTATCCCAGTTTTCATCGTGTTTTTATTTATATTCGGTTTTTTTCTCTTGTCCTCGTCGTTTCTCTTTTAAATAAATTGATATTGCGCTTTGATTTGCTACAAAAAAAATAAAAACAACAACAAATTCGATCAGCGTGAATATTAATCTAGTTCTTTTGTGTTTTCTCTCCCCCTACTCGTCCTTTTAGCCTCTACGAAATCCAAATAAAAATACAATTTTGCATTTGAGCTTAAAGCCAATTAAAATCAATTCAGGTGAGTAATTAATATTATCTTTTTATATAAATAAAATGTAAAGTTTATTTTCTATGCATTAGTATCAAATATCCCAAGGGGAAAGTCAGTTCAAAATTATTTGTATCAATTTGTCTATTAAGTTGATCATACGATATATGAAATGATTCAAGGCTCAATGAATTACTCATTGATTCATTTTGAATAATGCGCGTAAGTGCATTTTAGATTCAATTGAGCCAGATCATGTGCATTTATTAAATCGTCTCATCTGCATGGAATCCTATTTGGTAGCCTCAGGTTGTTTTTTGTTTAACCAAATTGTGTTTTGGGCACATTAAAACTTCAAAGTTGCCGAGCTAATGAATTTTTAATGCGCCCTAAAAATCTTGCGTCTCCTAAGTGCGCCTTCAGGAGGCGCCAGGAAGAAGCAGACGCGAAAGAAAAACTCACATAAATTTAACTGCAAAATGCGGGTAGCTTCACAGTTACAAAAAGTATTCCAAAATTTGTTTTTTTTTTTCACCCGCGCCGCCCACTCCGTCCGCTGGGGAGGCTGTAAATAACGGAACACCAGACAAGCACCAGACTGAACAACAACAACAACATCAGAAACGTGCAAAAAGCGTGTGTTCAACAAAGTTGTATTGGCGGGGTGTGCGTGGGGGGGGGGGGGGGGGGGGGATAACGGAAACCCTCCGTGTGTGTGTGTGTGGAGTACAGGAAAAGTTGCAGCTCTCAAAGGAATAAGAGGACATCATAATCAAAGGCTTTTATTGCGCCATCAAATAACCAGAAAACTGTTAGCTCAAGCGTTCCAGGGTTGTTGGGTGGAGGGGGGGGGGGGGGGGGGTGGAGAGGGGTGTTGGCAATACAGCAGAGGGGCTGCGGGTTGCTCTTTTCTGGGCCAGGCTGGAATGAAACGAAAAGGCCGGAAACCGGGCACAGACAATTTGCCTAGGCACGTTCGACCTAATAAGCAGGACCAAGAGTGTGGTGAGGGCAGTGTGGAAGGGGGGGGGGGGGGGGGGGCAGTTAGTGAGCAAAGTGCTTCCGTGTTGGAGGCCAAATCGATTTTTATTGATATTCCAAGTTGAATGCACCGTAAATTCGATTTAGTTTTATTTTTTGGCTATTGAATGAGGGGGGGGGGGGTGGTGGTGGTGATGGGGAATGGGGCCAACCAATTTTGGGGTTGCTGACAGAACACTCGAATGCCCAAATTGATTGCAACAGCGATAATTCTTAGACATACTTATATATGTATGTACACACACACATATATATATATATATATGTATATATGAAGATATACACACATACATACAACATAAAGTTCCTCGCAAGTTTTCGAAGGAAGCGCAAAATGTAAAAGGAAATACAAATGGTTTTCTGTGCGCTTTGACACGCACTTTCTTGATATTTGATAAGCTTCGTCACAATCTTTTTTTTCTGCATACCCTTTACCCGTTGAGAGTTTTTGAAAAGGGGCATATATTTCGAGATTTGAAATTTGTATTAAAACAATCAAACATAGATAGTTTTACTTTTCATTTTATTTATTTATTTTACTTCTAACGCTTTTCCACTACGCCAGAAGTTATTCAGCTTGTTTGCAGGGCATCTCCTAGTCAAGCAACCTTCTGACTTGCGCTCTCTGACTCGAAGCTCTGCCCACGTATTTTGACTTTCAACTATTGCCTTTGGCTTTGCCTGTTCGTGCCGCCCCTCTCGGCGCTCGCTTCCCTTGTCTCCTTAGCCTTTGTTGCCAGCTCTTCATTGGGCATCTTTTTTTTTGGTAGCTTTGCAAAACTTGTTTTAGTTCGTTTTTTTTTTTTGTTGGTTGTTGTCTTTTGGTGTTCTTTTGTTTGCTTAACAATTGTGCTCTATTTTTAATTTTATTCGTGTTTTATTTGTAGCTTCCAACACTTAAGACATTAGAGTTCTTCTTCTTGCTCTTTGACTCGCAGCTTTCAACTTCAACTCTGCCGCTCTCCCTCTCTCTCTCTTTGCCTTTCTCTAAACGGTAGAAACAATGGACACTTGATGGCGCCACCAGCTTCAACTGATTGTTGTTGTTGTTGTTGTTGTTGTTGCTGTTTTGAGCCCTTGGCCGAAAGTTAAGTGCTTTTGGGTCGAGTGCGATAAGCAGCTTTTGGGTTTAAGCTGATGGCTTTTGCGGGTCTCTCTTCCGAATGCTGGCAGGTCTAAGATTGCGGGCGTTCAATAATCCATCTGATAGAAAGCGAAAGGAAAGTACGTTGTGCTGATCTTTGATTAATCGGCATAAATTCGTCTTTTTGTGTACGAAAAATCCTAAAATCAGATAATGGAATTATGTATGAGCACAGCTTTACCAAATCATATGCTAGTTCCCTATACGGAACTTATCAATTTTGTGTCGTTTTTTGCTTATTTGGAATTAACCAACACTGCTTTCTAATTCAAAGGGCATTTTCGTGCACTTTAAGTAATCGAGTCGGCATTGAGTTACATTAGGAAAACAAGTTTAACTTTAATCTATTTAGTAGGCCTTGAAGTTCCGAAGGTGATTTGGGCTCTCAGTTTTTGGTTTTCGATTCAGTTGTCTTTCAACTCTCAGCCTGTGCATACAGCTGCTGGAACAGCTCATTTACTCAATTTTTATTTTGGTTAGTCTATTTTACATTATTTTTAAAGCTTCCTTTGCTTTTTATTTTGTCATATTTTTATGTTAAATACTACTTTTTTTGTGGAAAGTTCTTTCTGTTAAAAACATAATTTGTTTTTGTTCATATTCTACACGTTGCTGTCGCTTTTTATTTATTTTAATTTAAATATTTTTTACGTATAATGAAAATTAGACCTCGCTTTATTTAATGGACTAAGTTTCTCATAATGTATCATTATATTTTGTATGCATTTTTTGTTATGTTCAAAAGCACATCATATTCTCATAGCAAATCTTTGCCTAATTTGTAATGTACTGTTTTTTAATTTTTTAAGAGTATTGTCAACATTTTTCCTAAAGCTATTTTGGAATATTTTTTTTGAGTTACGTGGTGTTTTGTTTTTATTAAGTTCGAAAATTTGGTTTTAGTTTTTTCTATCTCCACGTCCTTAACCATGGTTGCTTTAATTTGTTTTCTATTTTTTGTATAGCAACAAGCGTTTGATCGCGTTTGGCATGAAAGTATCCTATATAAAAAAAGAAATGGCGACCTGCACCATATTATTTATTATTAAATTCGTATTTGGGCAAACTATAGCAACTGTTTCCCATAAATGCAGGTGTTTCGCAAGGAAGCGTCTCAGGGCCTGCCTTGTACACTCTGTTCACGGCTGACATGCCAGACACAACTGTTGCAACATAGCAACATAGCAAGAAGCTCATCAAAAGAGAAAGCTTCCCAACACCTGCAGTCGGAACTCAACCTCATTGAAGCCTGGTTTCTCCGTTGGAAAATAGAAGTGAACGCACTAAAATCCCTCCAAATAACATTTGCATTAAGGGCGATTGCCCAGAAGTTTTATTTAACGGTTCGGCAATTCCGTGAAGTGTCTTGGCTTGCATCTCGATTGGAGAAATGGAAAAATCATATAAAGGCAAAACGGCAGCAACTTAAATTCAAGACATAACGAATGTCCTGGCTTTTAGGCCGAAAATCCCAAACTAGCCTAGAAAACAAAGTACGCCTCTATAGAGCCATACTCTAGCCTCAAATTTGGACTTATGCTTTACAACTGTGGGGTACTGCTAGCAATTCCAATATATATATATTCAGCAATATCAGTCAAAAACATTGCGAACCATCGTAAATGCTCATTTCTACATCTCTAATGCAAGAATACACAAAGATCTAAAAATTCCTTATGTAAAAGAAGAAATTAATAAAACAAGTACAAAATACGTTAATGGACTTCACAACCACCAAAATAAAGTAGCCTTAAATCTGACAGTTAATAGTCTAACAGTAAGAAGACTTAAAAGAGTGCATATTCTCGATCATATACCAGATACATAATTCAAAGAAGTATAACTTTAACCTTACATACAAAATAAGTAAACTAGAATAGTGGGTTTCACTGGAAACTTTCTAATCCTGTTAATTTAAAGTTTAGCGAGCTATTGAAATGTACACAATTAAATAAAATGCTTGTTGGTTTAGTTGATCTCAATATTTATTATTTTATTTTTCTGAGCACGTTAACTTGTTTTACTCTTTAAAGTTCAGTAAAAGCATTTCAGTATCAAAACTGAAAATAACAAAAGTCTACTTGGTCATTGTATCTTTTGTATCCTTCATTATTCCAACACTAACTAAATTTACTTATTGTCTTAAGACAGAGTGTAAATAAATAAAATGTTATACAAAAAAGAAACATTTATTTGTATAGGAAATCGATTGTTCCTTCTCATATAACTCTTCTTCGTATTGGTTGAGCGCTATGATATTTTCATTTTTTAATTCTAATCATCTCTTTCAAGTTAACTATTTTTAGCATTATGCGACTTCTAGATTTTCATATATATCACTATCACTTTTAAAATTGGTAATTTGTATTTTCAAGGTGATGGGTTTTCTTACGAATTTATTATAAACATTGTTTTCCGCTCGAAATAATTTGGACATTTTTTTTTAGGAGATACATGGAGAGCTTGTTTAATACATTTAAAAGTAGAAACTTTAACTCTTTTTATGTTATAAATGTATTCGCTACCATTTTTGCCTCGGCATGTGACCACTTAAGGTACATCATATCCATCTCCATGAATCCATAGTTGCTTAAAATTAATTTTTAAACATTTTATACTTTTAGATTACATGTTTATTTTAAAAGCTCACACGTTTTTTGAACATTTTAATGTTTAAGACGTCGTCTCTTTCCCTTTCCGTTTTGTGTTAAACGGTGACTTCAAGAGTTTCATCATATCCCTCTCCATGTCCTGCATAGTCACGAGTTTTGTGTTTCCACAGCAAAGCTGTTTCTTGAAGTAATTTTATGTTATTTAATTTTATTTTAATATTATTATAATTATA